AATATTGAAGGATTTCATGGGGAAATATTTAACAATTTAGAGAGCATGAAAAATGATAGAAGTAATTCAGAGACTCTATACCAATTATAATTGGCCAAAGTTCAACTATTCAAGGTGTAGCATATGATAAATAACCTATTTTATCAGAGGAATAAGTCCAAGCTGAACTAAAGGCATTAATAAAAATCAAGGCTACAGGAATTGACAGACTAGCAATTGAACCATTTCAACAAACTGATGAGGCCTTGAAAGCACTCATTAATCTCCATATTAATCTCATATCTTGTCTATGTGAAGAAATTTGGAAGTCTGCTGCCTAGCCAACTGACTTGAAGAGATACATATCTGTGTCCATTCCAAAGAAAAGTGACCCAACAGAGGGCACAAATTATTGAACAACATCATCAATATTACATCCAAGTGAAGTTTTACAGGAAAATATTAAAAACAACAGTGGGAGTTGTGCATTGGCAGGGGGTTCAATTCACCTTCAATCTGCATATGGAAGAGAACCAAGGACATCATTGCTGATGTCAGATGGATCTTGGCTGAAAGCAGAGAATATCAGATAGTTGTTGCCATTATTTTATTAACTATGGAAATATATTAGACTCTGTAAATCACTACAAACTATGGAGACATTACAAAGAATAAAATTCCAGAATGCATAATGGGGTTTATTCACAACTTTTATGTAAACCAAGTGGAAGTGATTTGAACAGAACTAAAGGGTAGTTCTTGCTTTAAAATCAGACAAGATATACATCAGGATTATATCCTTTCACCATACTTACTCAGTATGTATGCTAAACAAGTAACCCAATAAATTAGACTATAAGAAGAAGAAATGGCACCAGAAGGGCTTATTAGCATTTGCACATACTGAAGACACAAACTTGCTTGATGAAATCAAGACATCAGGCACTTAAAGATGATAAAGATCAGAGATTGTAGATACGAATATAAAATATCTATCAATATAGAGAAAACAAGTCCTTAGAAGTGGACAGATAGTGGACAGATGTTCAACGGAGATGAGACTAACATGATCAAGGAGTTCATTTTCGTTCAAGTCACAATCATACTCACTGAAGAAGCAATCAAGCAACTGAACATATTGCACTGGGCAAATCTGTTGTGAAGATCTCGAAGCTTTAAAGTGTTAATGGACAAACGTGTCACTTTGAGCACGTAGGTGGGTCTGATTCAAGCCATGCTATTTTCAGTGACCTCTGCTGCCTGTGAAAGCCGGACAGTAAATGAGGAAAGCTAGAGAAGAACTGAGGCATCTGAACTGTGGGTTTGTCAAAGAACATTGAAGGCATCATGGACCGCCAAGAGTGTGAACAAATACCGCTTGGACAAAATACAGCCAGAATGTTCCCTGTAATATGCGAGGTGAGATTTGTGTCGTTTTTTTAACCTGTTATCATGAGGGATCAGTACCTGGAAAGGACGCCATGCTTGGTAAAGTAAAGGATCAGAGAAAAAGAAGAGGCCTCAGGAGACCCAGCACTACAGTGGCTACAACAATGGGTTCAGACATCACACCAATTGAGAGATGGCGTAGGACCTGGCAGGATTATCAGCAGGGTCCCTATGGGTCAGCACTTAACCACAAAAACAACACCAAGCCTTGTTTTTGATATTATGTCACCAATTGAACATTGGGAAATTTATAATACTTAAGTTTAGACTACCAAGACTATTAAGATTGATTGAATAATCCTCAAATTTAGCTATTTTGAAATGTAGTTTTCCCTATGTGATAGAACAAAAGAATTACTTATAAGACCATGACTTACAATTTTAATGAGCTACCAACAATAATTCTGGGACAAATTCCTTGATATATTCAAGAAAATTTTCTTTATTGACTGTATTGTGACACAATTTTTCTCTTCCATTAGGTTTCTAAATATTTATTGCCCAAAACAATTATTTGATGCTTACTCATCTCATTAAGATCTGTCTTAGCTTATTTATCTTAATTGCTTCTCCCTAAAAATAGTCCTCCTGAGTGAATGTACACTATTTTTAAACCTTTAAATATAACCCATTGAAGGCAACATTTTTAAAGACTTTTTTGCCTGTCATTCCTCTATTACTATTTTATGTAGGAATAAGTGTGGTTATTGTAATTTTTAGGTTACATCAAAGTATGATCACAGCCTTTTCAACGAGTTGAGGTAATCATTAAGGCAGAAATCAGAGATTAACAACTGGCAAGCTGTTTAATTACTTGGATTCACTATGAGACAAAACTGGCTCATCATAAAATGTCAAGGCAACAGGGAAAGCAATTCAGCATCCTCGTGATATACAAAGTCTTTCACCAGCATTCTCCTAAGACAGACTTGTAACCAATCTGGAAATATTTCTGATGGCTAGAAGTGATTCAAAAGCCTAGCGTTCTAGCATTAGCAAAGTCCTCGTGACTGTACACAGAAGAGGTCATGATGTCACAGTGGTTAAGCACACTCAATTACTAACTGAAACGTCAGCAGGTCAAACTTTCTGCTCTAGAGGACTGAGAGCCTACTGCCTTGGTGGGGCAATTCTACTCTGTCCTCCAGAGCAGCTATGAGTCAGAACTGAAACATATTGAACAAAATCTGAAACTTCCCAATTACTAATTTCAATCTTTGAAATAACTCAGAGGGCATCAAACTTCCTTGTATAACATTTCATTGAGCCTGGGTGACACAGGAACCAACCTCATTGCCATTGAATAAATGCCAACTCCTATTGATCCTATAGGTCAGGGTAGAGCTGCCCTGCGAGTTTCTGAGACAGTCACTCTTTACTGAAGTTGGAAACTTTGAAATTCTCCTGGAGCACCTGAAGCGGAGTAACCACTGCACCACCAGGTCACAAGCCATTTCCAAGTGGCAGCTAACGTGACTCAAAGGTTGCCAGGAAACCACCCTGTGACTCCACAGTGGCAAGGGCTGGTGAACTGCTTCCTCAACTATTTGAATCAGGAGAGCCATAAGGAATATAATTTATTTTGTTTTGTACCACACAGGTTGCCATAAGCCAGAAGCCAACATGATGAAAGCAAACACCAAATTGCTGAAATAGTTAGCACATCATCTTCTTCGGAAGACATAAAAGCTAGACAGCTTATGCTTCAGGATGTACAGGTTTATATACATTCCACTCAGTCAAGTCTCCTCTTTTCATAGCCATCTATGTCAGCTGTTCTCAACCTGTGGGTCAAGACCCCTTTGGGGGTCAAACGACCCTTTCACAGGGGTCACCCAATTCATAACAGTCACAAAATTCCAGTGATGAAGAAGCAACAAAAAAAATGTTATGATTGCGGGGTCACCACAGCATGAGCAACTGTGTGAGAGGGTCGCAGCATGAGGAAGGTAGGGAACCACTGATTTATGTACACAGTACCTCAAGTGAGTTCTATCAGTGCTGCTCTAACTACTGTAATGTTCTAATTGGCTTAAAATTACCTCTGTGCTATACAATCCATGCCCTATTTTATCTTTACATAGAGAGCTGTGCTTCATGTAAAAACATTTTAAGATATATTGCTTTTTGATTTGCCTCACATAACATTTTAAATATTATGATTAAGCGTTGGGCTATCATCTGCATGGTCAGCAGTTTGAAACCACCTGCAGCCCTTAGGAGAAAGACTGGGCTTTCTACTCCTGTAAACAGTGCGTCTCAAAACCCACAAAGGACGAGCTATGAATCAGCATTAACTCGATTGCAGAGAGCTTGGTTTGAGGCTTCTGAGTGTATAACTTTACATTTTAATGTGTCCTTACTTAGCATCCAAATGCTAGCTTACTGAAATGGATGTTTCCAGCAAACATTTCTATCAATCAGTTTTGTCAGTGAATCACTCTCTTCAGGCGAACAGTACTAACAAAAAGCAAATAGGGTGTCAGGTAGTTTATTTTAACTGCATATATACTCAGTCCTAATTATCCATGCTTTTTATGTTTTTTTTCCATCCTGCTTTTATGCAAACATTATATCCTCCAATATTGGTTTAGATAAATGACTTCCCATTCACTTAAAAAGACTCATGAGAGGGAAATGGAAATTAATAGTTGTATAGATGATTTCCAGTTATTGATATACAGTAACCCCATGGTCTGTTCATGCCTAATATCCATGGGAAAACTGGACAGCAGAAGAAGAAATGATGCATTTGAATTGTGGTATTGGTGAAGAATATTGAATACACCCTCAACTTTTAAGAAAAATGAATAGACTCGTTTCAGAAGAAACAGAAGCAGAATACTTCTTAGAAACGAAGACTGTGAAACTCTGAATTGCTTAAATGCCGGTGGGAAAGAGCAATCACGAGAAAAGGACATCGTGGTTTGTGAACAGGTCATCAGAAAATATGAGACTCAATAAGCACAACAGTGGACAATCTTCCTCTGTGTTACCCACATTGTGACCAGGAGTCTGAGCCAACAACAACTAACAACACCCCCTAAACACTGAGCCTCCCTTGTGTTTCCTTGTTTTCACTATGGAATGAATATGTTTTAAAATCATTTAATTTTTTTGTCTTTATGACTGAATTCTCACAATTTTTATGCCATCTTGTAATTATTGTTTCCTTATAGGGACTGAAGAGCCCAGATGGCTGTGTGGTTAAGTGCTCATCTGTTTCCACGGATGTTCCTCCCGGGAGAACCTGCGGGCCAGTTCAACTTGGTCTAAAGGATCGCTGTGAAACAAGATCAAACTGGATAGCAATGGGTTTGGATTTCTGTGTATGTATATATATAGATAGATGATGATAGATGAGAGATAGACAGATAGATAGATAGATAGATAGATAGATAGATAGATAGATAGATAGATAGATTCTGTTTAAAGAGTTTAAACCATTATGATGTCCTTCAACTTGTAAATTATAGAGCTATAATTAGTTAATGCTCATGATGAATTGAACTAGTCTTCATGATTCCAAGTCTTCCTGCAGCATCTAACTTGCTCCCCTGTAGGAGTGTCACCTTGTAACCGACGGGAAGGTCTTGGCAATCTTGAGAACATCCACTGACTTTCCGACTGAGACACTCATCGATGTGGCAGTTCCACTCATCGGAGCCATCACCACAGTCATCCTCATGGTCACAAAGACGGCCACGGGGGACACACCTGCCATTTTTGCACATAAAAAATGAACTGTTGCATGACTGTTCTGGAAAACAAAAATAAGGCCAACGGGACATCAAGAACATACCATGGTTTTGTGCTGTCATTATCGAAAGCATTCACAAACACAACAGCTGTCAAAAATTCTAGTAAACGTAAGTACATATGGAATGCTTTAGAGCGTGTAAAATATTTTATAGAATCAATACAGCATTCTATACTCTCATGTTTAATATTTATGGCAAATTTATATTAACCATAAAATTAACCATCAAATAAGTGTCTCTAGCAAAATTCATGGAATATTTGCCTTAACCTGTATTGTGAAAATGTGTTCAAAAGTGTAATGATACTTTGATATTTCATGAAGTCATAGGTCTCCGAGCAATAATATGTCACTAGAAATTAAGAAGCAGGAGTAGGCAAATATTCCTTAATTCTTTCATCCTGGAAATATAATATTGACATTTTTAAGACAGGTCATTAAAAAAAGGACATTTGCGGGAATCATAGCTTTTCCAAATACAGCTATCGAAAAGGAGTCCCAGGCTTATGATTACTCATACTCTGATGTCTTAGACATGACTTCTATAAGAAAACTTACTAAGTATAGGCTGTATATGAGAAAACACAAAGGAATTCTTACAAAATGTTTCACTGTGTATTACATCATTGAACTAATAAACGGACCAAGGTTGAATATGGATATGTTTCTGAATATGATGTTTTCTTTTCTTTTTTAAAAGTGTGACTTTTAATACAGACTTCATTTCATTGCTTCATTTCTAAGCAATTCCAGACTTCTTTTAAGTTTGAATTTTCAAATAGGCTCACAAAAGAAAACTATGGACCTAAGATATATATATATATATATTTAAAAGACAAAAACAAGCAACCTGCAAACACTGAGGACTATGTGACTTTGGGAGAGAAGAAATTTATTGTGGCTGTGGCATGCAATCTGCATATTTCTGGCACAATGTTAAGTTTCAAAACCTAGTCTCAAGACATAGTTTTTTAGTAGAATCCGGTTTAATATGTCAGGATAAATTCACATGCTTAACTATGAGTAGTTCCTGCAATGACTGCCGTGCTCGACTGAAAATGAGAGTGACCATCTGGCCATGGCATCTGTACCTGCACCTTTGCACGTGGGGTTTAAAGGCGCTTCATCAGAACGGTCAGGGCAGTCAAAGTCTCCATCACACTGCCACTGAGCGTTCAAAAGACACCGCCCATCGGCACAGCGAAATTCTTCTGCCCCACACTGTCGGTATCCTAGAGACAAATAAGCACACTGTTGGTTAATTCATATAAGAAATATCCATTGAACTTCATCCTCTCACTAGACATGAAACGTGTTGGTCATGCATAACTCCAATAGGGTTTCTTTCCATTGATTTCTATAACAGGGATAATATTCACAATAGCTATTCATAGTTGGAGACTATGCTGAAGGTTCCTAATATGAAGTTTGAAAGAACTTTATTTCTACTTAAGGAAATATGAGTGAAGCCTTATAAAAACAATATCTCTGTCCAGCTTTTACCTATGTCCAACAGAATCTCCTGAAACTAGAAAACTAAAAATAATATTAATTAATTAATTAATGCAATCTTTATAGTATTAAACTAGGTTTGGTATAACATCCCAGTACATGGATAAAATTGTTAGATCTATTTTTATAGCTGAGTTATAATGATAAATCTTATCTATTCCACTATAGTACTTTTGCAATTGTAAATAAATTGTTCAAAAGAAAAAAATGTTTTTAAACTAAAAGAAAAATTTAATTGACAAACAACGGGTGAGAG